TCTCTCTCCCTGTTCCTAATTGTAAATTGGGTATATTTTCCATAAAAAGGAAATCTTCTCCTTTAACTTTTGTATAGAAACCTTACCTCTTCCATTGTTTGAATATAAAGTTAGCTAATCTTTATGAGTAGTGTAATAATTACTTACCGGCTTCATTTGTATAAGGTTTATACTATTCAGTGAAATAAAACGGTTTATCTTTGTAAACATCAATATGATAAACAAATAAATAAAATGCAATAATCATTATGGTAAATAACAACAACAACAACAAAAGTGGAATCTGGTCTAAAAAGGCGCTTCTTATTCTATAGTCTAACCTTGATTAATGTTAATATACATTTATGCTAATTAAATAAACGGTACCTCATTGTAGTATCCATAGTCTATTACCTTATTACATACTTAGTAACTGAAGAAAGATAGGAACAAATATAATCATATAACAGATAAGTGGTAATAGTATATGTTCATATTCAGAAGTATATATAATATCAGACACTTATGATTGGTTAATAATTGTGTTGACAATTAAACTAGACAGAGATGATTGTTGTTGTTGGTGGTGGTGACGATGATGATGTTGATGATAATGGTGATGATGATGATTGGTCAGAATACTTGAAATGAACAGTAAGGTTTACTTACTTACTTACTGACTGACGCATGTTACTCCACGTCGTGGAGGAGCATAGGCCACCCACCATCACTCTCTATCCAACTCTGTTTTGTGCAATCGTTTCCAGTTGCTATTCATGCCTTTTGGTGTCTGTTTTCAATACTCGACGCAGTGTGTTCTTTGGATGAATGAATTTCGGCCAAAAACTCAAGAGGTCCACTGATTACTTCATCCATTCAGTTTAGTATCATTAGGTCAAGGTTTGTTTCTTGATTAAGTGTTTATTTTTAAGGTTTAAGGATGGTGTCATATTGTCTGTTTGTTATTTACAATCCACAGGAACATAATTAAACACTTAATACTTTGAACATCATGATTTCAACTTGTGGTTGCATTAAGTAATTGTTCATCATCACTTACAATGTTTTGAGTAGTACAAAAAGTTATTTTTTACTACTTGTTATATATGGAATTTGCATTTCACTCATAAGCTTGAAGGTTTCCTTCTAGGTTTTGATTGTTTTGCCACTATTCTATACTTTTACGGTTTTTTTTGTCTCAGTTGTCTTAGTTGTTTAAATCCTCCCACTGGTGTTTAGAATTGCAATTGACCAGTCTCTTTTGACATATGTGGATCGTATATTACCATTAAATCACAAGCATTTAATAAGTAGGGTTAGATACTGGCTAGCCGTAGATTAGCAGCAGTTATCTGTACTCAGTAGCTAAGTGGATGGCACGTTAGCGTTTAAAGCTCAAGGTATTGAGTTTGAATTCCAAAGTGAACAGAAACTGTGGGATCCAAGTACATCCAGCTGACGAGTCCTAAATAGGAATAAATGTGTGTTTGTAATAAGAATCATGTATTTCAAACATACTGTGTTTATATACCAATCAAACAGATCACATCGTACCATAAAATGGAAAATAACATTTACACAAGATTTAGACAAATGTGGCTGTGAATATAGGAGGTAGTCATTGATAGACTGGGCATAACTCGGGAATGGTAAAACGTATAATAATGGTTCATAGGTCCAAATAAAGCTTATGATAAGAGGAACATGAATATGTATAGCTCAGTTACTTAACAGTTATACAATAAAAAACATATCTATAGTATTAGTCCAGAAATAGATTCTAACAGTTACCATTCATAATTCTCATCGGGATATAACACATTCAGTTGACAGAACACAACTTCAATAAATAACTGGCATACTTTTTGGTATCTCTAATGTTTATTTAATCTAATTAATCTAAATATTTAAAAGCTTATCATTAGATTACTTTATCATGTTAATGGTTGATATGTAGATTTGATTCCTAGTAGGATCATGTGTATGCACTACAGATGACCCCCTTACCAAAATAAACAGATGAGCATTGCTTCATTGTTTTCAGTAGCATCCTAAATGAAATCAATCTGTGACAAATACAACGATCTCCTGAAACTCCTTGAAATATTTACAAACCATTGAGACGAATTGCACTGTTTCCTATTTCCATTTTTTCTTCATGATAAATCCATGACAGCAAGAATATTGGATTTAGAAGCTCTTTCGTACTACGCATCCTCACACACACACACATACACACACTGAATCTATGTACTTATAAAACCTTAAGCGATGAAAATAAGCGACTACATTGTCTCTAACATGTATCTGTGAAGATTCAAACTGATTTGTTATTAAATTAGCTTGTATTCTCTATCAATACCATTGTATCCATCTTCTAATGATTTTCAATTTGATTAAATATTTTACAAAAACTCTTTACTACTTACCTACCCTACTTATTTTACAGTAAACATTAATCACACACACACATACACAAAAAAATAAACCGACTACCAAGTAAATACAAAGTAGAGTTTGCTTTGAACTTGAAAAAAAATCTTTAAAAAAAAATATATTTCTCTCCTGGAGAAAGTATACTAAACTACATGCTTACTCACTCACTCACTCACTCACTCACTCACTCACTCACTCACTCACTCACTCACTCACTCACTCACTCACTCACTCACTCACTCACTCACTCACTCACTCACTCACTCACTCACTCACTCACTCACTCACTCACTCACTCATTCACTCACTCACTCACACCCTCCTTTTCTCCTTCCCTCAGTTACTAGTTGTAATGATAGTACTTACTTCTTTTTTGTCTATTTAACATTACGCACATATAATATATAAGTGAATCATGTCAAATGTTGGATATCTTGAGAATACTAAACAAATTGCATGTGTGTATGCGTGTGTGTGCGTAGTGTGTGTGTGTGTGTGAATATGTGTGTTTACGATAGTCAGTAGTTGTAAGAGTAATATTAGTACAATGGTCAAGTGAGAAATAAGATCAAAATCAGGAAAATAATAATAATAAGGGAGAATCAGTGATATTATTCATTTCTATATTGTGTGTCATAATCACTCATTTGTAAAAAGAGATACACGGAATGTTGTTCAATGATATGAAAGGTTTAGGATGAAGAAATACACATATTTTTTGATACTTTCTATATGTATCTGTATGCGTCTGTGTTCTTTTAAGATGACTGTAAATTTTCCGACTAATATATTTAATTTATGACAATCAATCTGATGAAAAGAGAACTCTCAGTATGGAGTTGTGGAGACTATTACGTTTTTAATTGAGATCATGAACCGAATAATGTGAGATCATCATCGAAAACCTATAGGCATTGGATGGATATTTCGTACTATTTTGGGACTCCTTAGCAGTGCGCATCCACAATCCCGTCGGCGGGAATCCAACCCGGGGCTTTCGGTCTCGCACGCGAACGCTCAACCTCTAGACCAGCTTCGTGAGAGAATTCTCAGAGTTCTGTTAAGAAGCCATGACCAGTCGAGCTAATCCGTGTCGGGTAGAGACAGAAATCTATCCCAGTGAAATGGAAGATGGTAGTGCAATTTCGTGGATTAGTTAGACATAGACACCGTTAGATACCGACTCGGTGGTCCAGATGTTAGGCGTTCGCGTGCGAGACCGGAAGCCCTAGGTTCGGATTCCGCGAGCAACATCGTGGATGCGCACTGTTGGGGAATGCCACAATAGGATGAGACAGCCGTTCAGTACTCCCAGGTTTTCCATGGTAGCCTAACATCAATCGGTTCATGATCTCAATCGAAAAGAATTGATAATCGAGATTAACAGTCCTTTTGTTTTCTTGTATTCATTTAACCTACTTATAAGTAGACCAACTTGATTTGATAAAAAGTGTTTACAATCACGGATTTATCTTAATTATGAGAAAAAAGCATTAAAAATTCAGAGCCATTGAACAGATATTTAATTGTAGTATGGGACACTTCAACAGTACACATTCACGATCACAGCAGAGGTTTAACTGAGGAAGTTCAGGTATTATGGAGAGTGTTTAATCCCTAGATTACAGAGTCAACAACCATTGACTTAAATTACTCAATCATTTTCCAATGCCATTAGTGAGTAATTATTTTGAATTCAACATGGATCTACTTCCTTTACTTAGGGCTTCTCACTGGAACTCATGGTATTACCTCAGGAAATCAATCACCGGTAAGTAAATGTTCCCTAATTCAGTCAGTCAGTCAGTAACAACGTAGAACTTCGTACGTAAGTATATCAGTTCGAGTTGCCACACCACCTTATCACAGAGATGCAGTGGTCGATTCAAATCCCGTAGTGCTAGATGTAGTAAAAGTATAAGCTGTAATCAGAAAAGTTAGGGTTTGCTGTTATTTAAGGAGTATAGTCCAATGAAATAAATTTGGAAAGCGAAAAAAAGAAATGGACACGAAGATTTCAGAAGATTATAATTTGAGAGAACACAAAGAGTGTATGCACTTGCGCCATTGCAAACGTATTTGAGCCATGTCATTCAGGGTCTCTAACCATCGGTTGATATCATCTCGCGGTCCCCAACCAGGTAGTCTACACCTACCAATATGACTCATTCTACTTGTCAGTGACTTCATGGACTTGTGCCATGTTTTGGTCTGGCCGCCCCTAGCTTTCTTCCAACCCACTCCTATACAACAAAACATCGTACATCAAGGCAGTCGGTGGTTGGGCATACGTAACACGTGTCCCAGCCATCTCAACTGATGAAGTTTCACTAGTTCATCAATTGATTTTCCATCCTTACCTATTACCCGTTTCCTAACAACTGCATTACTTACTCGATGGTCCCACGATATACGATCAATATTTCGAAGACACCTATGATCAAATACTAGTAACCTACGGATATCCTCTACTCTTACCGGCCATGTTTCCTTATTACTGTAGCAAGTTCATAAAGATTATTAACACATCGTTGTAACTAATATGAATTGCTCATTAGAATTTCGTTGTATTTTTTTAATTGAAGTTATATACAGATTGGGCGAATCATTATTTGGAAAAGGCAAATTATTCAAATTTAATAAAAAATATACAGAAAGATTTATCCAATGGACTATTGTTAGCTGATATTATACATGCAGTAGGTAAGCTGGATATTGTGTATTGCTAATTTATGTATGCATCATTATTTTGCATTCGTTTTGAGACCTAATATATGAAGGGCTGCATAATGGCTAGTAGTGGAATAGACGAGTGTCAATTATTGATGTTGGTCACCAGATAGTAAGATATAAAAGCAGGGATTAGTAAAGTAAGGACAGCATTTATACAGTTCAAGAACATATGGAACTCAAAACAACTGACAACTAGTATCAATATGAACATCAAGACAGTTCTACTATATGGAGCTGAAATTTCGAGTATTACTATAACCATCATCAAAAAGGTACAAGTATTGATAAACAATCCGTTGTCTGGATACCATCAGGAACAACTACTGTTGTAGAGGACAAACCATTTTCCAGATGAGGAGGTAATTAGGAAAAGATGTTGGAAGTGGATAGGATACACACTGAGAAAATCATCGAACTGCATCACGAAGCAAACGCTAACCTGGAATTCTGAATGCAAAGGGAAAAGAGGAAGGCTGAAGAAGACACTGCGTTGAGAATTTGAAACTGACATGAAAAGCATGAATAGAAAATGGAAACAACCGGAAAGGATTGCCCACTACTGAGTTGAATAGAGAATACTTGTGGGTAACCTATGCTCCTTCAATAGAAGTAACAGGCGTAAGTGTATATACGTATAGATGGATAGATAAATAGATAGATCACTTTTATGAGGTAGTTTACATCACAGACTAAACAATTTAATGTTTTTTGTCATTCAATTTCGAAATTTTACTATAGTCCCCATTTACGATACCTTTCGGGATCAGATCTACTAAAACCACTGATTCTTAAAGATTTTCATTGTCATGTTTAATGTTTAACCGTCATTCTTCTGAATCGGTGTATTCATGTACACTTCAGAAAAGTTCCGACTTTTCAGCTATTTGTCCATTTAAATCGAGCGACTGAGATGTTTTTATGAATTCAACATTACTACTAATATTTAGTTAGTATGATGATAAAAATAACAAATATTCTCGTGACAATTATCATCGGCGGCGTAAAGCTGAAAACCCACTGATGATGATGAACTAATGAAAATTGATCTGAAAGATTTCAAGTGAGTTCATGAATGATGAAGCTTAGATTCAAACCGATGATTTTTTATGTCTCCTAGAATATTCCTCTACTACTAATCATTATGACTCCATGGTCCATATTTGACTCAAACAACTAATAAGACACACACTTACACATATATACATGTATTACTTCCTCTCGTTTTCAGACTTTAAATAATCTAAATAAGCCTGGTCGAGACTATAATTTATGAACGAACCGATCAGATCTAGGATAATAGGTCTTGGATTTTGGCTCAAAATTCCCTCACCCATTCGTCCAAATAGCGTCATAGCATTTTAGCTGATGTCAGTTCATGATGAAAACCATAAATCTAAATCCTAACCCTTACCGTCAACTGTAAATCATTATCTTTACTTCTCAAACTAATTTATAACCTTTATTTGTCCCCATTGAGTAGGCAGACACTCTCAGGATCCCTCAAAGATCGTCCATAAATTATAATCTCACCCAAACCAATTATTTTTATGGGGATATAATATAAAAACCATCCGCCTAAAAGAGGAAATTTTTGGTAACTAAGTGACCCTTAGGAACATTAAATATCATACTCATTATTTTAAAACACGTTGAGATTAAAATGCTTGTGAATTAAAGTAATATCCAAGTAACTCGCATTGAGTTCGAGTCGTGGAGTGAATATCAACTCTCAGATGCAGGTACATCCAGCTGACGAGTCCCAAATAGGACGAAATGCTCATCCTAGATTCCATTTCTCGTCACCAACTATCTTTCCTTATAACGATTGATACTAAGTTTTGTTCTCATTGTAAATATCACGACAGATGTGGATAAATTCAATTGAAAAGTCTTAAATAACATCATACGTAAGTCTTCAATTTCAGTGATAATCACAATCCATATTAACTTTTCCAATACTACCATTATAATAATGAATTTTAATCTAGATTGAGTTCATTTCATTAACATCAGCTTCCTTTTTCTTCCCCTCTTGATTTCTACTTGATTTCACACATTCTATCATCTGGTTTTAAATCACTTTTATTCTCATCTAGCTAATATCAAAGTTCAACGTTTATGTCGAAATCCGAAAACATCCGCTCAATCAGTAAGTAATCATCTATCATTATTTGAGTATTGATAAATCATATTGATTGTTTATAATGACTTACATGATCTAGATGACTATTTTCTGGAGAGAGAGAGAAAGGGGGGGTAATAATAAGGTAAAACTGTGCATATTTGATGGATCATTTGTAGGCAAACTGCGTTACATAGATCTTAAACACTTAATTTTGATCTAAAATCTGACTGTAAATATCTAATCTTAACAAGAAATAGTGTTGTAACTCATGTAGTGACTGGTTCTATGTTGAGTTTATTTTAGCTTCCAGGCAAGCCAATTTATCCATTCTTATCAAGCTACACTTTGACCATGTTAATTATTCGCGGTGAGACTATCATTTATAGACGAATCAATCACGTATAAGATAACAGATCTCAGATTTCAGCGCTAAATTCACTCATCCATTTGGATAAACAGAATGCCCTAAATCTAATTCCTAAGCTTAATCATCAACTGTTAATCATATATATATAGAGGGAAAGAGAGAAAGAGATTCAAGGCGTTTTGTACAAATTAGTTAAATGATAAAATAAATCCAACTTACATACTAATAACTGTTACCTCTCGTGAAGGAGCATAAGCCGCCCACCAGCATTCTCCATCGAACACTGTCATGGGAAAATAAATCCAAGAAAAACGTGAAATTTTTCTGAAGAAAAACTATTTTTCAGTCAATCCGATAGAAATTTGAAAGTTATTGGTTACACTTGATCTAGCGATTGTCATTATGGATGAGAACTGTTTTTCTTCATTTTAATTAAAACATATTTCAGATAAGAAAATCAGCATATAGGCCTAATGAACCCAATGAATATTATCAGTAATCAGTATATTACATAAAGCTCAAAAGAAAACACCCTTACCAAACATCTAGATGCTAAACCCTAAAGAGAATGAAACAAACTACTTAAACTTCACTGATAGTTACAATCTACCCAGTTTCAATAGAGTATGGTTCACTGAGTTAGATGGTTTAGTTGTGTAGATTTCATCGTTCTTTTGAATGACGTTATCGAGAACAAAACTTCATCAAAATCATCTACCTGAGCTACAAATCTTCTCTACCATACTCAATTTCAAATCAAACACTTCATTGGGAAATTAGCACAAAATAAACGCTGTACTTATTAATGAAAATGATGCTAACGTTTAAATTATATGTATCAATAGTTGAAATCACGATTCAATTGAAGCTAGATCACCATGGAAAACCTCAGAATACTAGACGGCCAATTCGTCCTAGTATGGAACTACTCAGCAGTGCGCATACACGATCCCGCCGCCACGCAAGATTAGAACACAGGACCTATCAGTCTCGCACGCGACCGCTTAACCATTAGACCACTGAGTTGGCATCCAACGATGTTAATGTCTAACTTCAACCAATCCACGAAGTTGCGCCACCGTACACCATTGTCTTCAGTGAGTTGATATCTCAAAACAGACCTGGTTGAACTCCACTGGTAACGGCTTCTCACTAGAACTCCATGAAATACCTCTTGAAGTCAGTCACTAGTGAGCAGATAACTATTATCAGAAGGTGTTTTGTGTTGAGATTTTTACAAATTTCAATAGTTGAAATCATGAGTCAATCGATGCTAGACCACCATGGAAAACTAATTAAGGGTAGTATGTAAAGCTTTTATCAATAAAATATTATTCCGAATGAATGCTGAATGTTACCAAACACTTTGATAAGGCTACTTAACTATGGGTATTTGAGTGAAGAAATCGAAAGAGAGAGAGAGAGAGAAAGCGATGAGGACAGAGAGATCAAACAAATTGATTATATACAATAATCACATATTCTGAACAGAATTCATTCTGTTAATCGATAAGACGTTTTTTTTAAAGGATCTTATCAACCAAGCTTAACCAAATAGAATATGACCTAATCTATATTTTAATTTCATTATTCATACAAGATAATGACATTTTGAACGAATTGATTATTGTGTATTACAAATATTGATCATGTTTCTATTGTATCATTTTAGCTTCATAATGTATTGGCTTGTTTTCAAGTGCTCCAGTTACTTGGCATTGAAACAAATGGGTTTACTGCTCAAGGTAAGACTAATAATAATAATAATAATAATCATTATTATTATATTTTATTACTAAAATGTATTTACTTTCATGTTAACTAAGTATTCCTTTGTAGTAGTAGATGTAGTCATTTGATCCTCAGTGAATACTAGTGTGGTGGTCGATATTCAATATAATCCTTAAACTTCGTATATAGTTCATCCTCATAACCGTCGGTAGATAACGTCCCCCAAACGGTGTATTAATCAGAAGGCGAATATGAAGTGTTGATTACGTTTATTATTGCACCACACACAAACAGATCACCAAAATTGGAGGCACACGAAGCAAGAATGATAAGCGAGTGCCGAAGAGCAAGTGAGTGAGTGCGTGCGTGCGTGCGTGAGTGAGTGAGTGAGTGAGTGCGTGAGTGAGTGAGTGAGTGCGTGAGTGAGTGAGTGAGTGAGTGAGTGAGTGAGTGAGTGAGTGAGTGAGTGAGTGAGTGAGTGAGTGAGTGAGTGAGTGAGTGAGTGAGTGAGTGAGTGAGTGAGTGAGTGAGTGAGTGAGTGAGTGAGTGAGTGAGTGAGTGAGTGAGTGAGTGAGTGAGTGAGTGAGTGAGTAGTCCATCAACATCGAATAAATTGAGCGACTAACACTAAGGCTAGCAGAATGAATGTATGCATAGGCAGTAAGCAATGCTTGAGCATTCATATTCATACAAGTACAACAGTGGTAAAGGTACAATCACATAATTTGTTATTGTACGAATGACTCTATCCGTTAAATAAGTTAACAAAAAGAGCTTAACCAAATTAAATGTGAACAAACTCAATTACATGTGAGCTGCTATACTATATAGTTTTCGTTAACTGTTTCATCTCAATGTTCTTTTAAGATTACAGGTACACCATATTGATCAATGTCAATTATCAGGGAATCTAGATAAAGTATAATTTACAATTGACTACTTCAAACGAACTAATGTCTATCTATCTTAAACTAAGAAATGTAGCGAGAAATTTGATCTGAATAGTAAACAATTCATTTAGTGACTGATTTCAAGAGGCATTTCTTGCAGTTCTAGTGAGAAACCGTGAACAGTGGAGTTCAACAAGGTCTGTTTTGAGATATCAACTCACTGAAGACAATGGTGTACGATGGCGCAACTTCGTGGATTGTTTGAAGTTACACCTTAACACTGTTGGACGCCGGTCGGCTCGGTGGTCTAATGGTTAAACGCTCGCGCGTGAAACTGATAGGTCCTGTGTTCTAATCTTGCGTGGCGGCGGGATCGTGTATGCGCACTGCTGAGTAGTTCCATACTAGGACGAATTGGCCGTCTAGTATTCTGAGGTTTTCCATAGTAATCTAGCTTCAATTGAATCATGATTTCAACTATTGAAATTCATTATGTAAAAATGTTTTCCATTTTTTTGTATTTTAATATTTTACTAATCATTGTATATACTACTAACAATATCCAATTTGTTTTCACTCCTATCCATCCATTTCTTATATTGTAGACATTGTGGATAGTAAATTAAAATATATACTTGGTCTATTTTTCAATTTATCTAAATTTAAACAAAAAACAAAAAAATTACAACAATCTCAAGTATATACAACAACATCTTCATCAATAATACAATCATCATTCTTAACAACAACAACAACAATACCAACTAAAGCAACAATTACATCAATTCATTATCCATCAATGTTTAAATTACAAAAAAATCATATTTCTAATGAAAATGATACACATCATCACCACCACCACCACCACCAACAACATCATGATTATCATCAGGATTCATTAATTGTTCAATCAACACCACCTAGACCACCACCACCACCACCACCACGTACTATCAATACTACTACTACTACTACTACTACTACTACTAATACTACTACTACTACTACTACTACTACTACTACTCATAGTAGTCTATCAAAACAAACAGATCTATACAACAAATTAGACAGTCCAAACAACAACAACAGCAGCAACAACAACAACAACAACAATCTAAACAATGGGAATCAACATCATCATCATCATGATCATCATCGTCATTATCAATCTGTAAATAAACAAGAAAATCTTTTAATCGGACAATTAAAATATCCAATTATGAATTTGAATGAAACATTGTCCAATTCATGTTCCAATCCTTTAATATTGAACAAAAATAATGAGAATAATGATAATTCTAATATGATTGGAATTAATGCATCATTAAATTTTACTAAACCAAAGTGAGTGAAACAAACTAAGAAAGTATTCTTTTTTTTTCTTTGTTATTTCTTTTTTGGTAAAACTATAATTTATGAACGAACTAATCAGATATCAGATAATAGGTCATTTGGATAAATAGAGTTATGACATTATAGCTGATGTTAGTTCATGATAAATACCCCGTAATCTAATTCCTAATCTTAACCATCAACTGTAAATCATAATTCGACCTTCAAATGTTCTGGTACGACCATGAATGGGAAGAGTTAACATTCATTCTTAAAATGCTCTGACATATCCACGTGCATACAACCACTGTCACAAAAGTCTTACTCAACGCCTTATGATGGAGCCAGTGTTGTTTACGAAACTGAGAGGATGAAAAGCGAATGTCCGACACGGAAACCGAGTTAGTGGACACGGAAAGTCCACCGATGGGAGTTGGAAAACTCTTATTCCAAATCAATAGTGCATATGAGCTCCAGGATCCTGAGGGAACAAATGGAGTATGAACCTATTGTTGGTGACCGGCTACCATGGGACTGCATCTCCTGACGTTCCTCCACTGCCTTGTAGATCAGACATTTAGGTCGAAGGCTCGTCGTGTTGTCCGTTTGGGCACCCGGGTAGTATCCCAGTTCTCACACAAATCAAATGATTTATGTGGTGCATATGTATTTGGTGCCTTCTTGTACCAATGTTTATGTATTTAAATAAATAAAATGAAATCATAATTCTATTTCCTCACACACTGGTTTATAACCCTCATTTGATCCTGGTTATGAGGTAGACACTTTCAAAATTACTTCGGCTTCACTCAAAGGTCATCCATAGATTATAGTCTCACCTATTTTTCTCATCCGAAAATTGACAATTAAACACTGATGAATTTGAACATAAATTATGATTGATTGTTTGAATAGTAAAATGATAATTGAAACATTGATCATTTGAAATAATCTCTGACTTCTGATTGGTTTGAATATTTACAATATATGCATATTTGATAGATATTATGATGAGATTTCTATCTGAAGTTTATGCTGGTGATGTCGTTCAGAAGAAGGATGAAAGTTTCATGACCAAACCATTCAGCTTAGAGAATAAATCTCCATCAAAAACTATAATTTATAAATGACCTTTTTGAATAATGTTAAGCTGACTTTGAGAATATTCATTTACTTATTAGAGATAAATGAGGATTATGAAGTAGTTTGAAGAATAAGCATTATAATTTACATTTGGTAATTAGGAATAAGGAATTAGATTTATATCAGAAGGGGTTTGTGGAGATTTTAGAAATTTCACAGATTGAAGTCATGAGTCAATTGAAGCTGGATCACCATGGAAAACCTCAGAGTATTAGACGGCCAATTCGTCCTAGTATGGGACTACTCAGCAGTGTGCATACACGATCCCACCACCATGCAAGATTCAAACGCAGGATCTACCAGTCTCACGCGCGAGCATTTAACCGTTAGACCACTGAGCAGGCCGGCATCCAACTGTGTTAATGTGTAACTTCAAACAATCCACAAAGTTGCACCACCGTACACCATTGTCTTCAGTGAGTTGATATGTCAAAACAGACCTTGTTGAACTCCATTGGTAACGGCTTTTCACTAGAACTGCAGGAAATGCCGCTTGAAGTCAGTCAGTAGTGAGCAGATGATTATTATCAGAAGGGGTTTTGCAGAGATTGTAGTAATTTCAATAGTTGAAATCATGATTCAATCGTGGATGTGCAGTGCTGAGGAGTCCTATACTAGGACGAAACGGCCGTCCAGTGCTTCCAGGTTTTCCATGATGGTCTAGTTCCAAATGACTCATGATTCCAATCTGTGAAATTAGATTTATGGTTGTTTTTTATCATGAAATGACATTAGCTAAAATGCCAAAAAGCTATTTAGCCAAATGGATAGATGAATTTCGCTCTAAAATCCACTGTCTGTCATTCTAAATCTGATTGGTTCATCTATAACTTATAGTCGCGCCGATATTATCATATTCCCAAGAGTTCAGTACAAGAATTGAATCTTACCCGTCAATTTTATATTTTGATGACCAATAATAAATAGATTGAACATTAGATCGTAGATAAAACGAAACAGATATCTAGTGCTTTTTGGTTTTCAACAGTATCCTAACTAGATTTTAATCTTAGGCAGAAAAAAAAATGGTCACTACAAATTCAGAAACACATTGATCTATATGGTAGTTATTAACGAAATATAAGATGAATAGACATAAACACATATGATTTGTTAGTATGTGAGGTTTTATGAATATTCTTAAGTTTTATTGTTTACATCATGAACTGATCTTAGTTAGACAACTATTGAAAACTAAAAAAAATACTAAATAGTTGTTTTGTTCTAGTGTGACTCCACCATGGATCGAACCGAGGACCTTCTGATGCTCATATCTTTCTAAAACCTTGTGAGTAGTATATGACATCCTGATTTTTCTTTATAAATATATATATATATACACTACTTGCCATTACTGGGAGGTCCCTAGCAGACTTTGCTATTATCTATAATCTTATAAAAATACCCTCTTAAGTGGTGCTTTATTTTCTTGTTCATGGTTAAATGTACATACATTAAGTAGGAATTGTTTCTTTACACAAACTTGCTTATATTGACAATTGATGATGTAATAACCTCACAAACATACACTTATACATTTAAGAGCATGAAATAAATAAGAAGTTTTGTGTTTCTATTCAATACCCTTCAATATTTAATGTCTATTGTTATAGTCGAAATTTTTTAGTTGACATATTGATTTAATAAACTCTACTTATTAAATTGTAAGTAATATAATTGTATGGACTAAATAAATTAACACTGGATATACATAGTCTAGGAAAATAATCATCGTTTCTGTAGTTTACAGAGCTCTAATCTCATTTTCAACATAAATCTGTTTAATATGAACAAATATTTCAAAAAATAAAAAGGATTAGATTTGAAACGCGACATCCGGTTGATGAGTCCTAAGTAGGACGAAATGAGTGTCCTGGATTCCACTGTTAGCCACCATTCATCTCTACCTATAATACTTATGATTTAAGGCAATATCAAAGCAATCTGTATAGAATGTATATATGCCAATAAGACAGACTAATCAATTGTAGTCTTAAACATAAATGAGAACATTCCAAAAAAGAAATAAGAAAAAGAAAACCCAATACAAAGACATAGTTTGAAAATACCTATATCATAGATAAACTTTCATGAATAAAATTGACTCATCTAAGAGGTAGGTAATAAAACAGAATAAATGATGACAGGAACTTTATATTGTCTCCTTTAAAAACTTACTTTTTCATTCCAGTTCATGAATGAATGTTCTTTTATTCTAAAATAAAATAGAATAATAAACAATAAAGAAGTGAAAGATATACTGACTTGATCATTAAATTATTATTCAAATTTTTTTGAAAGTATCTTATGAATTCAAATTGAAATGGATTAGATTAACCCATTGTAGATATTTTTGATATAAAAGTTGATCACTCATGTTCGCCATATGGCCATGCTGTACGGATTGTCTACATATTATTTTCTTACTTACATCTGTTACCCTCCCCCCAATGGATCATAGGCCGCCGACCAGCATTCTACAACCCACTCTCTACTGGGCATTCCTTTCTAGTTCTATACCATTCTTGTTCATTTTTCTCATGTCTATCTCCATTTCTCGACGTAATGTGTTCTTTGGTCTTCCTCTTCTCCTTTGGCCTTGAGGATTCCATATGAGAGCTTGGCTTGTGATACAGTTCGGTGCTTTCCTCAATGTGTGTCCTATTCATTTCTAGCTCTTCTTCCTGATTTCTTCCTCCACTGGGATCTGCTTTGTTCTCTCTCACACTGGGTTGTTGCTGACAGCGTCAGGCCAACGGATCCGAAGTATTTTGCGTAGAGAGCTGTTAATAAACACTTGTATCTTGTGGATGATGGCTTTCGTAGTTCTCCGAGTTTCCGCCCCATACAGTAGAATTATTGTTTCAATATGGTCAATATGAATATATGGAATTTGGCTAGTAATGGAGTCTACGATATATGTGTTGTCCTATTAAGGGACTCACTAACTGGATGTACCTAAATCTCAGAGTTGATGTTTACTCTGGGACTCAAACATCGTATCGTTCGCTTGAAACGTCATCGCGTTATCTACTTAGCTATTGAGTCTGGATATCCACTAACTTTTGTAAGAGGTATGACACTTAAGTCAATTTGAAATGGATTGGATTATCCTATTGTTGATATCTTATCAACTGGCTATAAATAAACTCTGTTTACAAGAAGGTTATAAAGGGATAAGATATAGAAAAAATTTTAAAGAACAATGAACACACGCATAGTATGTAAGTCAGCCAATCATAGGTAACATAGAATACTATTAATACATACATCAGTGAATGCACCTGCACTTATATTTTGGATCTCTTGCATGAAAGCTGCATTCTGACTGGTTATGTTTGATTGGACAATCTTAAGGACATCCATAAATTCACTGAAGGTGGTCGGTATGGTATAGTCTTGCCGTAATTATTTAAGTCACGTTAAATATTGGCTAATAATGACACCCGGGAAGTTTGTCTCTTTTTATTTCTTACTCATTAGCTGGGTTAAACTAAACCCAAGTGTTGGTGTTCTTATTGGCACTGAAACGCAATGACTTATGTTTTAAATTTCGAGTCATTCACTGAACTACTGAGTTCATGTAGACATTAATTTGTTCAAAGAGGATTAACTTATATCTGTAATGGTTTGGCTCTTCCTATCTAAAAGATATTAATTAATTGTATTCCTTAATATCGATGTAAAGTATCAAACTATTACAAAATTAAATTCACCTTCACTACACGAATTATTGTCTATCTGAAAGTCTTAAGCATTTTTAAGCCTCTTTTAAGCATCAACTGAATCCTTAATATCAACAGGTAGATTTAAATAACTATTAAAGTTCTAGTAAGAAGCCTTGGCCAGTGAAGCTAATCCAGATATCT